CCCACCAAATCCCATAATATAGTTTTAGTACTAATATCCCCTTCGATCTTTTTTTTTTAGGTACATGTAAATATAAATGTGCAGGAAAATTTATTACGTAGATGAAAATAGAACTGAACCATTTTTACAGTGGTATGTAACATGATATCTGGAATTTCGCATTAAGACCCGTCTTTTGACTTTAACTCTCCACCGCATCCCATCCCGTCAAATTCCACTTAAAATAGTTTAATATCAGTTAACTTTGATCTTTGTTAGTAAAATTTTGTTTTATACTAATTTATTACATAATGACCTTTGAGCTATATCTGTAGGAATTCATTGTATCCTTAATTTTACATCTTATGCGTTATAATGACAAACGATGGCCCCACAGTTGTCTAATTGCATGGTTTGTTTCTAAATATTTCCGCCGTCGTTTTAAGCTGACTCACCTGTATAGCGTCTTTTGGCGACACCAAACGTAATTCCAGATTTCACAGGACACCGTAAATAAAAGTTCATTTAAGTATGTACATCAAACAATAAAATGTGCCATTATATATAGTCTCTTTGCCTTATTTACTAAGTAAAACAAAATGGGTCGTTAAGAAGACAACAAAGCGAGTTCCATTTGTAATTATTGTCTCCTTTCATTATTTCCAGTGGATAACCAAATTTATATCAAACCAGAGGCTGTCATGCAACACACGAATCCATTTTACAAGAGGTGGATAGAGATGGAGCTAAAAAAGAAATGTGATTTTTTGTACGATCAGGGGCCATAATCCACGAAGTAACGGTCCGATATGCACGAATATCGCAAGGAACCGGGATCTTTTGGATATAAAAATATATTTTAAATTTCATCAAAATCGGATAAATATTGTGACTTCTAAAGGATCCACAACATTGGTATTACATAATTTTACACTATTTCAAACTATTTGGTACAGGGAAGAGCCATTTTGTCAGGCAGTCGCGGTCCGATCTTCTAACACCAACCATCATAGGGTGTAACGGTGATACATTGGAAAAATATTGTGACCGCTAGAGTGACCACAACCAGGGGCCATAATTCAGAAAGTTACGGTCTGATATGCGCGAATATCGACAGGAACCGAGATCTTTGGGTTATAAACATACAATTCAAGTTTCATCAAATCAGTTAAAAATTGTGACTTCTTGAGGGTTCACAACCTTGGTATTACATACTCTTACACTATTTGTTTACAAGGAGCGACCATTTTTTCGGGCAGTTTCGGTCGAATTTTCACGAGCGTGTAAAAGTGATATATTTAAACGGTTTTTAAAATTGAATACGAATTCTGACGTCTCGAGGGTCCTGGTCCACAAACTAAAAACGTGATTTTCGAACAATCAGGTGCCATAATCCAGGAATGGTCTGATATCGAAATATCGAAATTAACCAAGATCTTTAGATTATAAACATATATTTCAAGTTTCATCAAAATCGGATAAAAATTGTGACCTCTAGAGTGGCCACGCCACAAGCTAAAAACATGAATTTGCGTACAATCAGGGCCCACAATCCATGAAGTTACAGTCCAATACATGCCAATTTCGAAAGGTACCGAGGTCATTGGGAGATAAACCTAAATACGTCCGGACAGGGGCGACTACGATATACGTACACATGAAAATGTAGGCGTATAAAAATGACACATTACTCATGGACATCTTTACGTAAAATGTATTTTATTACATTAACAAAAGAAGTGGCAGTTTTTATCTGGTGAATTTAGCATATAGGCTTTAAAAATGTATAACATGTGTATGCAATCTAGAAATAGTGACATTAACTATTAAGAATATATTTTTTTTTCTGGAACAAATATATAACAATAACAAATATCTATATATATAAACTTGATCAGAATATAACAAAAAGATAGGTTGCCAGGCAACGAAACATACGCCACAGCAGTAAGTCGTCCGGACAGTCCATAAAGCTTTTCACATTTTATGCTTCTGTTGATATTGGGAGCATTTACAAGACACTGACAAACTAAGGAAAGATGGTTTTTTTTATAATCATCATCAAGTTGATGTTGATTTTGTTAGTAGTAAATCTAAAATGAGTGAGATTTAGACTGAAAAAGGGAGGAAATTGAGATTTGGTTTATTCGATGTTAATATGATTATTTTCTTGAATATCTCGCTGAAACGAAATTCATATTGGGTGTGTGTGTGGTGTGTGTGTGTGGGGGGGGGGCGTAGCGAGCCACAATGGGGTTCCGGGGATTGGTCCACAGGACAATTTATAAACTTATTTGGGTGATTGAAGCCCTGATATCTGTATTGATTTGGATGACTGATGCTCTGATATCTGTATTGATTGGGATGACTGAAACCCTGATATCTGTAATGGTGAAATGGAATGTTGTCATTCTTTTGTTTGGTGATTTGTGTGTGTGTGTGTATCTGTGGCGGAGGGGGGGGGGGGGGCACGGGGATATGTTTCTTGTCTCATGTCAATAAACATCATATATAACTGATCTGTAATTAATAAGCTTCTTCGTCAATCAGGCGATAACTTTAGGCTCTAGAGCATCCACAAGATTTTTCAAAGTGATCAAAGACCATTATCGGAAATCGCGGAAAATCAATAGGATTCTTTATCATATGACCATAAAAACTATGAATAAATTCAAAGTCAATTGGGTAATAATTTTAGCCCCTCCAGTGTCCACAAGATTTTTAGCATCTAAAGTATCCACAAGATTTTTCAGAGTAATTATCGGAAATCGCTGAAAATCAATAGGATTCTTCGGCTCATGACCATAAATACTATGTTGAAATTTAAAGTCAATTGGTTAATAAGTGTAGCCTCTAGAGCGCCCACAAGCAATTGTGGATGCCGGACACCGACGGACGAGGTTAACAACAATATAAGACCACATTTCAATGTGGGCGTATAAAAAATGGGTAACATTGGTATTGGTATCGCAAACAAAAAATATATATACCAGTAAATAAAAACATATAAATATTTCAAAAAATCAATTCCAATACATGTACAGACAGTAGGCAGGGCCGTCTTGAGAATATTTGAGGCCCCCAGATAAACTAATGAACTAATGTACTGTGGTCCCCAAAGCATCAAAAAATAATCTTTTTAGTTGGGAATTTTGCGGTATTTCATTGCAGAAAAGTGTGTTATAAATGGTTGAAAGTTGATCCAAGGTCAGTAAAAAAAATCTCCACTAGACCCGTCTCCGAACTTTATTACAGCACAGACGCAGCTAACCCTTTGTTGTATAGCCAAAACCTTACATAAAGATAGGCTGCCAGGCAACGAAACATACGCCCACAGCAGCTAAATCGTCCGATAGTCGACAAGGGTTGTCGCATATTTGTTCCTTTGTAGGTAATTGGGGGCCTTTACAAGACAGTTCCATACAGATCAGATTATAATTTTTGCCGTTTGAGGGTTCACAAGGTTCTACGAATTGAAACAAGGGTCTCAACTCTGGAAGTAATCTACAAAAATTGTTGCATATAAATTTCATACATATCGGATGATAACTTTCATCAATTGAGCATTAACAAGGTTGCACAAAGTGAAATAAGGGCAACTCTAGAAGTAATAAACGGAAATTGCTGAAATTCAATAGGATTCTTCTCCTTACTAATTTAAATGACGCATGTAAATTTCATACAGATCGGCAGATAACTTTTGATGTTAGAGCGTTCACAAAGTTCAATAAAGTGAAACAAGGGCCATAACTCTAGACGTAATAAACAGAAATTGCTGAAATTCAATAAGCTTCTTCGTTTCACTAATTTAAATAATGCATATAAATTTCAGAAAGATAGAATAACTTTTGGCAATAGAGCGTTCACAAGGTTTAATAAAGTGAAAAAAGGGCCATAACTCTAGACGTAATACACAGAAATTGCTGAAATTCAACAAGCTTCTTCCTTTCATTAATTTAAATAATGCATATAAATTTCAGAAAGATTGGACGATAACTTGTGGGGTTAGAGCGTTGAAAAGGTTAAACAGAGTGAAACAAGGGCCATAACTCTGAAGTAATAAACGGAAATTGCTGAAATGAACCAAAGCCATAACTCTAGACGTAATACACAGAAATTGCTGAAATTCAATAGGTTTCTTCATTTCACTAATCTAAATAATGCATATAATTTTCAGAAAGATAAGATAATAACTTTTGGGGTTAGAGCATTCAAAAGGTTAAATAAAGTGAAACAAGGGCCATAACTCTAGAAGTAATAAACGGAAATTGCTGAAATTCCATAGGCTTCTTTGTTTCCCTAATTTAAATATTGCATATAAATTTCACAAAGATCGGATGTTAACTTTTGGCATTAGAGCGTTCACAGGGTTCAACAATGTGAAACAAGGGCCATAACTCTAGCAGTAATAAACGGAAAATGCTGAAATTCGATAGGCTTCTTCGTTTCACTAATTTAAATAATGCATATAAATTTCAGAAAGATAGGATGATAACTTTTGGGGTTAGAGCGTTCACAAGGTTCAATAAAGTGAAACAAGGGCCATAACTCTAGATGTTAACAACGGAAATTATTGAAATTAAATAGGATTCTTCATCTCACTAATGTAAACAACATATATCAATTTTAAAACAATTGGATGATAACTTTTGGCGTTAGAGCGTTCACAAGAAATTTTGGACGATGGCCGGACGGACCGATGGACGGGGGCGACGGTAATATACGTCCACATTCCTATGTGGGCGTATAAAAATACAAATATACACTGAATTAAATAAATAAAAGTATAAATACTCTCACCTCTTCCCCCTTTAGTAAGAACTCCTATCCTTACCATCGATATCACGGAAATATGTATACTTATTAGTAGTTCACGTATTTGCATAATTTGACATTTTTCCAACAGCTGTTTTTAAACATGGAAACGCAATATGACAAATGATGATAAAGGGAACCATGCCAGCAATCAATATATATATATATATATATATATATATATATATATATATATATGGCATGGATTGATTTAATTTATGACTGGGGTATTGTTTATTACATATTTCATAAATTTTTATCATAGTTAATGTTGTCACCACCTGATTTATTCCTGCACTGGTTGCATGTTAAAAAGATGGCCACGCTAAGCTCACACTTCAGATAGTCATAGACAACATGTTTTTCGAAAGGAAAACCTGAATGTTGACCAAATTTGATAAAGATCCGAAAAGCTTGTGAACAGATAGAGGTCAGATTTCTTGAAGGTAAAAGGATCCATATCAAATGCGGTTAACATCCAAGTTTTACTTTCAGACAAACCACTATCTTGGCTATGCTTTTGTCCCAAACCCAATGCCTAATTAGTTCAAATCCTTCAAGTTGACTGGAATACAAAATGTACCAAGAAGGCCCAGTTACGTGTGTATCTTTTGGAAGGTACAAGCAGGCGGTTGTCCAGAGGGGAGTGGTCCGTTGGTTGCGGAGGGCATATTCTTTTCCTCCTGCATTTATCGAAATAATGCTGAACAAAAAAGCTTTACCGCTGTGTTGGCCTCACTCTAATCCTATACATGGATGTACTTAGATGGGCAGAAATATTCTAATACCTAACGCCAAACTTGACGTGCCTAGCAAACCTCTTTGCTCAAATTCCTGGACACGCCCCTGACAGGGATGGACAGTCAACTTTGTGTCCATAGAAACGTAAAATTATTAAATTCGAGAAAATTTCCAATTATATCCATAACGATATAACCTCCGGAAACGAAGCGATCATGAGGACGGGCGAACAGATGACCTATGACAGACAGATGACCTATGACGAACAGATGACCTATGACAGACAGATGACCTATGACGAACAGATGACCTACGACAGGCAGAAGCTATAGGTTAAAAGGACTAAGGTTAATCGTCTCTTATTATTATTATTACAGCATATTTATAGTGTAGCCTTTCATATAACGTGTTCAGGGCACTTTACAAAATGACAATGTAATCATATAACAAAACCCATAAAACAACAAAATTCAGTATACAGATTCAGTTAAACGCCTGTTTAAATAAATCATATAAAAATACACCCATAAAAGAACAAGCTTGAGTATACAGTCAGTTAAACGTCTGTTTAAATAAATGTGTTTTAAGCTGTTTTAAAAGAACATTGAGATATACAGCATCTTAAACTAAATGGTAGATTATTCCGCAAAACAGGTGCTTGATAACTAAAACTGACCAGAAGAGATTAGTTGAACGGTTTGGGGCTTTAAAAGGAGTTTACCTGTTGTACGTAATGTTAACCAGGTGTATAAAGTTCTAAAAGATCTGAGAGGTAAACAGGAGCGTAAAAATGTTTCAATATGTTAATTATTGATGTTATATTGTATGATGCTAATACTTGTGTGTGCACTATGTACAGAAAACTCCCACTACAAGACGTTGTAATCTATTGACAATTATTTGACACAGCATTAAATGTTTCAACCTTTTCTATTGTTAATGTCTCTGGTTGAGGTCCCTGGTCATTGAATGGAGTGATAGTTTGCTCAAACACATCTTGTTCACTAGTTCTGAAAAAGGGTGTATGTAGAAGCAAATGCAATATAGCCCCTACTGTTACCAAAGCTCCACCCATATAAAAGGATATATCATAACTTTTAGTTGTATCATACGTAAACCCTGAAAAACATAATACCAATTATATCATGTTTATATATTCAGGTTTAAAACTAATCAACGAAAAGTAAAAATAATGTAGAGACAATTTACAATAAGTGGACATGAGAAATGGAAACATATAAAACAAAACCAATGGCATAAGAAAACACCATGCTCTCTCTCTACTAAATATATTATTCCAAATTAATTTCTGCAAAGAGTAAAAACACAATATTTCTGTTTAAGACATGTACACGGTCGTTTACTTTGATTATGAAACAACACATTTCAAAGAAAACTATTACTAATAACGACCAAGACCCGTTCACCCGGTTAATATGTTATATAAGAACAGATTATTTAATAGCAAAATTGTTACCTGCTAAAGGAGGGCCTGCAATAGCTGCGATACCCCTAAACATTGTCATTAATCCAAAAGCATTGGTGAGTTTTTCTATTCCAAGGAGATCACAAATGATGATAGAGGACAGGGATATGAATGCACCTAGAAAATAGAGAAATGCTTATCCAGTAAATTTATGACATGTTCAGCGATGCAATTATCTATCGAGCATAGGTTGGGTGCCTTTTGACATATTCGTATGGACATTTAAATCAAAATTTCATCTAGTGGTTTTTTGGAGAAGATTTTTCAAAATGTTTAAATTTTTAAGATCCGTTTCAGTGCCTCATAAGCCCCCTGTGTTGGTGGTTCGATTGATTAATAATGTGTAAGGAAAATATTTCAGAATGTTTAGACAATTAAATGATAGAATAAAATATATTTATTGTAAGAGAATATGTAATTTAGTACATTCTCGGGATCTGTGTTGGAATATAAATCACTTTTGATTGCCATACAGTGTTTACTTATAGATGACGATATAGTGTCATATTCCATATTGTACATGTATGTGATAAATGATGTTAAAAAAGGAACATCTTAACTTTACGATAACTACCCTAACATAATTCTTCTATAAGTTGAAATGTCATAATAGTATCTTCGTCGTTACAGTATCGTGTGTGGTCAATTTATGAAGGCTATATGAAATATATAATAAGTATTACCTAGTGATAATCCAAAAATTGATGCAGCAATAGTGAGAGTAATATAATCATTACAAAATGGGAAGGCAGCTGTTGTTATACCAGTGATAAGTATAGACACATTATTTACCAATAGACTGCTAACATTGGGGCGATCAGCTAACCACCCAGATAAAAGTCTACCAAAACAGTTTGTAATACCTGTAACATAATAAAATACTGTAAACATCTTGTCAATTCATTGTACTAAATCAAATTATTACGAAAATTGAAAACAAGTAATTTTAATGGTTTACCTATTACAGATACAAGAAAGGCAGCTTTATTTTCTTCTATTCCGCTCAGTTGAGCTTTGTCTACTAAAAATACAAAAGGTACATAGAAGCCCATGAATACAAACACGTTACCAAGACACAACATCATAAAGCCAGCATCTTTCAATAATGATATATCCAGCATCTCTCGCATTGTATCTTTGGCAGATTTAGGTATAGGAAGTAACTTCCAGAAAACAGATTCATTATGTTGCTCTGTAGGTATGGTAGTAATACTCTGAATATAGCTACGCATGTCTACCTGAGAACGAAACTGCGGGATATTTAAAACACTTCCACTATAAAATATATCTTTTTTGTATAAGGGACGTTTGTAATCTTCTTTTGGAACATTTAAATTACGCTGAGAAAGTAAAGTACTTTTTTTGTCTTTTACAACAATACTCTTTGTTCCTCCTGTTGGTTGCATTTTCACCATGATATTTTTGGGATCTGATGCACTGAGTAAGGGTGAACATTCTTGTATCTTATGATGAATATTATTAGGAAGACTTCCATTTGAAAATTTAATAGGTTTGACTGAGGCGATTTGGATCTCAGGGTCACTTTTCCTTTGATTCCTCGGTCTCGAATTGACAGGAGGGTTCTGGTCTACAGGACTGTGGTCGTGTTCTGGAGAACTGGGTGAGCTTATGTCTTGAGGGGATGTTGGTGGGGTAAAGTATTCAGATTGTTCTGTGGTAACTGTTCCCTCAACTGTTGAGTCAGCGGCTATAGATAGCCGTGTAACACTGTCTGGCTTTGGCAAAGCATTATCCTGTACAGTTATCTTTGGGAGGCTTGGACTTTCTGGGAGGCTACTAATATCCCCTCTGTCTGAAGACATCGAGAGTTTATGAATACGAGCGTCTCGACTGTTTTGACGTCCACATCCCTTGACAAAAATGGTGCTTGGTAGAGACGCCAACTCTGATTCGTCGTCTTCTAGTCTTTGTTCTCGTTGCAACTTCGCTTCCATCACCCGCTCTAAGATTAAATTGGTGTGCTGGGGACTGTAAATGTAATTACTACATTCTGATTCAGATCTAAATCTTTTGGATTTTGTTTGCTCTTTAATTCTGTCAATCATGTTTTTGGCTCTTGGGCGTTTAAGCTTCGGTGTTGATGTCACTTCTAAAGGTCGCATAAGCATGCCACATATAGCCGCTTGTAGTATAATACCCGCCAATATCATTATGGCATTATTCCAGTCATAGACATCCAACAGAACTTTTGACAAAGGGGCAAACATGAACGTGCCTACCCCTGATCCACATACAGCTATACCCGTAGCCATTGCTCGTTTTGTTTCAAAGTAATATCCAACACTAACAATAGCCGGTAAGTAAATCATTCCAAAACCAAAACCTGTAAATGATAATGAAAACATTTTTCAGTTGGTATAAACTAGCTCAAAGATTAAAAATGTGATGTTGACTGAGATGGACCAGCTAATTCTATTCAATGAAACATGAAAGAGAGAGAGAAAATGAGGATTAACGTACACTTGACTTAAACTAGGGACTACAATGGTACAATGTCATTTTAATAAGTTGCATGAGCGTATGGTCCTGAGTTGTGGGAGGAAACCTGACTACACGGAGAAATCTACTCCATGTCACTTACAAGCATAGGATCAAACCCCCGCCACTCGACTTAACATCGATAACAGACCAGATGACCTAAAGTATTAGACCATTCGAACTTTCGGTTCTATAGCATTCCAATACGGTGCACCTATTTCGTGTAATCTTTTACCCCCATCACCTTAAAACAGCTTCATCCCTTGAATCTTTTAAAACAAAACTAAAAACTCATCTATTTACCAGTGCATTTCAACTAGAATGGATCGAGATATGTGTGTAAATAGTGACCATAGAGTATATAGTATGCGCCGAGAGTATGCATTTGTGGCTGGATTGGCGCTTTACATATATACATTATTATTATTATGTATTTATTTGTTGGTAATGGCAGGATTCAGAAGACATCAACAACTGATCAACTGTAACAGCCCAAGAAGGAATTATCAGAAATAATTAAAATTTGATTGTTTAACAAAGCGTTATAGTTTAAACATGTATAGGTAATCAGATGGTAACTTTAGCTGAAATCATCTCATGAATAACAACACTGCGTATAAATTCCAAGTCCTTCGGGTGATAACTTTAGCCTCTAGACTTACACAAGATTTTCAACTGATTAAAGGTGATAACGAAAATTGGCTTCTTGGTACAGTGAACATACACACTGTGTATAAATTTCAGATCAATCGGGTGCTAAGTTTGGCTTCTAGAGCGTGACCATACAATTGTCGAGACCGGAAGACGGGGTGGGTGACAACTATACGACCACATTTTAATTTGGGAGTATAAGAATTATTCAGATCTATTGATAATTGAGACTCCTGTGGTCTTACAGGTTTTGCAAAGAAGGGGAATAATTCTGGATATTATAGTAAAACGTCGTTGAATATCAATATCAATTCAGCAAAATAAAAGACCTATTGAAATTGGTAACAAGGTTTTGCATCCACGGGGGATAACTCTCGGAAATCGTCGAAAATAGCTGACGAATTGCTCAAGAGTGACAACAAATATTTATCTGTCTTTAAAGTGAAATCAAAAATAGATATAGAATAAAGAGTTTCCAAGTTCCTTAGAGAGAATAATTAAACAACGAAATTGCGATCAATTTGTAAAGCCTTGAATGAAAACATTCAGACCTGACAAACTTGTCTTTATATTTAGTTTAATTGACTTAATTATTTCGTTTCTAGTCTGTTTTCGGAGCCTCGAGGTGTGGGTGATTGGGGTGGGTGTCAACTGAGCATAATTTAATTTGTAATAAACATCCATACCGCCTATAACGCCATAGGTAAGAGTTAAGATTTCCACATTTGGCGAGAATGTACATAGAACAAAAGCTCCAGTGGACACCAGACTACCAATAACAGCTACTGGTCGACATCCATATCTGTTTACCATTCCGCTAACTATTGGTCCTGTAATCAACATACTATTTAATAAGATAATCACGCCCACAAAGCTGCTTTGTCTCGCAAAAACGACAGTAAAAATAACAGTTTATTCACAACTACATTTTCAAACACGAGTTTATGTATAGGCAGCGGCATATCAAAAAGGAATACTTGAATGTTGACCAAATTTGATAAGGAAGCTTTCAAGAAATCTGATGTCTATCGTGATCACAGGCTTGAAAAAAAACCGTTATAAACTGAAGCCTCTATCGCGTCGGAAGATAACTCTGGAACAGATGTTCGTGGAATGTTAAAATTCAAAATAATGCATTAAAAACTATAGCCACTACAGGATTTTCGGAAAGTTGCGGAACACTGAATATCAATAGGGTTAATCCTGTCCTGACACCAATGAATCACGCCTGATTTGAAATAAATCCATTAAAAAATATATAGCCTCTATCATGTGTACAAGCCAATTATTGACCGACGGACAAAGTGACGACACAATACGCCAACGCTATTGTAACAAGGGACTCGAAGAACGAGGCTTAGCATATCCCACACGTCATCTCAAACGGTGATGGGTTAGATCTATTTGATAAGGCCAACTTCACGAGATGTAAACAGGGCTAGCGCTAATCCCAACCCTAACCCTTTGAACAAACTTGAAGTTGACCTTATCAAATAGATCTAATCGTGACACCATATTCTTATTTGGAGAGCATGCGCAATAAATTTTACCGGTGTAGACTGGAATAATCAGACGCTAGAGATTGCCATTCGATTGAGACTTCTCGCGCATTTCGCCCAACATAACTGATTTGAAATTAAGAGTAAAAACGCAAACGATTTAGCGTAAATCGGTTTATATATACTCTTCAAAAAAAGTAGGGGACATTGAAATGCAAATACCTATGCAAGTAGTGATATGATAAATAGTCATGGACACTTGACATGCTTTGAGAGTATGTTCACAGATGAAGAACTTATCGGCCCCGACAGAACCACTGAGCTGCACATGCGACACACAATAGCGCCATACACGTGGGAGGGGTTCATTGTCAAATTTGACACTTCAAGGAAGGGTTGATGAAAACTGCCGCGTGATGATTTATCTATCCATATTTGCTTTCCTATCGGTTCTTGTATAAGATTTACTGTTTAGTGTGTTACGTTTAATTTGATCGGGGGACGTATTCGTCGACGTCAATGCCAACCGACAACACTGCAAGAATTGGCCGTGGCACTGCAAGAGAAGTGGGTCAGATTGCCCCAAATCGTGATTGGGCGGTTGATTAGGAGCATGCCACGACGAATTGCTGAATGTCTGAGGATTGGTGGAGCAATTACTCATTATTAAGACAAAAATCAAAAACGTCCATTTTCACTTTTGACGGTGTATCTCTTTGCGAGTGAAATGGGGCCGTCGGATAAGCCGCCCATATGAACTGTTTATGTTCATGTGTAGGCAATTGGCCTGTTATTAACATACTCTGGTTACCTCTAATAGAAACAGCAGTGCATTTCTGAATATCCCTTACTTTTTTTGAAGAGTATACATTCATATTACATTATTATATGCGTTGCAACTCATTTGTATCAATTTCTAGGTACCAAATAGTAGCCATTTCGCTCTTTTAATAAGATGATTACTGCGCATCAATGGGTTAGATTGGTGTTTCAAAGTAATAGGTAAGAATGATACGTCAGTGAACGTTTCAATATATTATCGATTAATCAGTCAACTGGATGTGATTTCAGATCTTTGTCGAGATAAATTTCGGTTCGGTCCTCAGTAGAATATGAAAATGATAAATCTCGATTATAAAACTTTAGTAAGTGTATTATACTGAAGAACTTACCTGCAAACAAATACATCCCAACCAAGAGGGACCCAACAAGAGATACCTTACTTTTCGGCTCCTTAAAAAAGTCTACAAATTCCACCAGAAAAACGCCAAAGGAGTATCCAATACCATCCACAATGACATTGCATACGAACGAACATGCGACAATAACCCATCCATAGCCACCATCAGGAGGAGTCGGGATATACTCGTCGCAGCTATCGTCAGATTGGCACGAATTTGTGGAAGGAATTCGATTAGTCTTTCTTGATGGCATAGTAATATATTTTTAGGTATCAGCTTTGGTGTTGGTGGCTCTCTTAGAGATGTGTTACCAGATCAGAACTATGCGATGCCAAACTTCAATCCATTTTACCTTAAAAAAAATAATTAAAAAACGCCGCTGAAGAATCATTCCCAATAAAACCTGAGTATTTACCGCGCAAGAAAAACAAATATCCTTCATCATAGAGGAATCGGCACATTCATCACATAACTTTTGTAATTTTAAAGAGAAATGGCATCCATATTATATACTCTTCAAAAAAGTAGGGGATATTCAGATGCAAATACCTATGCAGGTTGTGATATGATAAATAGTCATGGACACTTGACATGCTTTGAGAGTATGTTCATAGATGGATAACTTATCGCCCCAACAGAACCACTGAGCTGCACATGCGACACGCAATAGCGCCATACACGTGGTTCTTGCATAAGATTTACTGTTTAGCGTATCTTTGCTTTAGTATGTTACGTTTAATTTGCAGTGAGACGTCTTCAACACGATGAACGTCTACGTGCTATTGGCATGCCGCGTGCTGGTTTATCCTATCCATGTTTGCTTTCATATTGGTTCTTGCATAAGATTTACTGTTTAGCGTATCTTTGCTTTAGTGTGTTACGTTTAATTTGCAATGAGACGTCTTCAACATGATGGACGTCTACGTGCTTTTGGCATGCCGCGTGCTGGTTTATCCTATCCATGTTTGCTTTCCTATTGGTTCTTGCATAAGATTTACTGTTTAGCGTATCTTTGTTCTAGTGTGTTACGTTTAATTTGCAATGAGACGTTTTCAACATGATGAACGTCTACGTGCTATTGGCATGCTTCAAATGGGTTCTACACAGCGAGCAGTACCAACAAACACACAATGCTGATGATAGACCTCGTTCATGTCGTCCTAGAGCCACTACACAAGCTCAGGGTTGATACATTCGTACAAAGGTCCTGCGAAATCGAGGACAAACGGCCAATCAGCTTTTTGTAAACTTGTACCAAGTTACAGGAATTCGAGTTATACCCCAAACGATTAGAAATCGGCTACATGCAGCCCATTTCCATGCGCGACGACCGCGTGGTGTGCCTCCATTAACTCGCCAGCACATGGCAAACAGGCGTCAATGGTGTAGGCAGCATAGAAATTGGGGTAATCGTCGATGGGGCGTGTAATGTTCTCAGATGAGTCGAGATTTAATCTGGATTTCACCGATAGTCGTGCTTGCGTTTGGAGGCGTGTAAATGAGCGTCATGCTTACGTTAATTCAGACAGCGTGACAGATTCGCGCGTGGGTCTGTTATGGTGTGGGGAGGAATCACCATGACTGGCAGAACGGACTTGCATATTGTTCAAGGAACGGCCACTGGTGTGTACTAGCGTGACCACATCCTGGCACAGATAGTTCTGCCATTTGCTCAACGTGCAGGTCGACGTTTCATCCTTCAAGATGATAACGCCCGTGCCCACCGCGCTCTTGTCGTGAATGACTACCTCCAGCGTCACCATATTGTCCATATGCCTTGGCCAGCCATGAGTCCTGACCTTTCCCCTATAGAGCATGTCTGGGACATGATCCGGAGACGTGTTGGTCGACGTCAACGTCAAACGACAACACTGGAAGAATTGGCTGTGGCACTGCAAGAGGGGTGGTTCAGATTGCCCTAAATCTTGATTGGACGGTTGATTAGGAGCATGCCACGACGAATTGCTGAATGTCTGAGGATTGGTGGAGCAATTACTCATTATTAAGACAAAAATCAAAAACGTCCATTTTCACTTTTGACATTGTATCCATTGAAATGGTGCCGTCAGATAAGCCGTCCATATGAACTGTTTATGTTCATGTGTAGGCAATTGGCCCGTTATTAACATACACTGGATACCTCTAATAAAAACAGCAGTGCATTTTCGCAGTTTTGTATTTTTTCTGAATATCCCCTACTTTTTTTGAAGAGTATATAATAGAGAAACGTTGTTTGTGTTTGTACAGGAAACCAAACGGTTGAACCAATCAATTTGAAATAACTTCATAATAACAAGGTTTTTCTTACAACATATTTATTTTGTATCTGCGTGTAGTATTTATAGTGATGAATTGACCAATAATGATTATTAACAGTTTTGTCCGGGTACCAGGGTGTTTAATGAATAAATTTCATTTTGCAATAATGGGTCGTGGAAGTTATCCACCGAGAGTTATCGCCCTTCCACAAGATGTTTGCGACCCTGAGACGGATACAAAGCAACTTTAAAATAACCAGCTTTTTACAAGAAATTTTATTTTGTATTGGATCAAAGTAGTAACTGAATTATTATGAATGTTACAAAAATTAAGATTAATAATACCCGATCAACGCCGGGTAAAACATCTAGTAACTGATATTCTCTATTCATACGGAATAAGATATGGAATCATTACCTACCTTCTGTGTCAACCGGTCTCGAGATAACGTCTACCTCACATAAAAAGAAATACAGAAGAGTGGGCCGCCATAGTGCCGCTGCCCGGGCAAAATTTCCCTTCATTAGCCCAGTCGGAGCAGAACAGTAGGACGTTAAACCCCATTTCATTCCATTTTTATACACAGGCCCTCCAATTATCGGATTGATTTGATACACAGTATTTATGAAACGAGGAAGCCTGTTCCGTTAACTCGAACAGCTATATAGATGTACAATTAAATATCTAAAGTTTACATGTTTATTATTGAAAAACCTATAGTCCCTTCCAGTTTCACATGAAACAAATACAGCGCAACATTTTTTTTATTATTGTTATTATTATTATTTTTTACATACTATGATACTTTAAGTTGTATTCAGCTAAGTACGGGTTGTATATATTGTATGTAGTGTATCTACTGCTATTCATTATTAGTATATAATTTGTATTGCAAATAGGGATAGGGGTCTGACATGGGCATTTTGACTGTTCCCCAATTTGCCATTCATTTATAGTGAATAAAATATGTCTTAAAAAGATAAAAACATAAACACTGTCTAGAGTTGGAGGGCTAAAAGACTTTATCAAGGAAAATAACTCAGAAAGTAATTATAAATTTATTCATTTCTTAACAAAAACACTGTGTATACTGTTTAAATTGACTCAGTAACTATCACATCCTCGGTATCCCCAATGGTTTCATTCCGTTCTATTCCACTAACCCCTGGGTTAATCTGTAGGGGGGGGGGGTCAAGTTATCCGCCCTTGATGATTGTGCTATTTTCATCGACCAATCCCATAAATCGTTAATTGCAAAGGAAGTTGGTAAAGGGAAGTTACTCTCATCGGACAAGGTTAGGGGTTAGCCTAAATGAGAGAAGTCCAAATTATTCTAAATGCGTAAAGTTTACATATACATGTATGTAGGTTCAAGAATGTTATTGAGAATCGTTCGTTCGTTCGTTGTCCGGAGTTTTACGTCCACGTGATATCGTAGACAAGTTAGAGATACATTATGGGAGATTAGATAAAGAGCTCGTAGTTCTCACTATTATAGTTAAAAACTAAATAATGTAAAGGGAATTTGCATAAAATTTCAGTCAATTTGATCCACCCTGAACCGAGTATTTAGAGATTGAATTTTGGGCCTAGTCCGTACGAGCGTTGCTTATGGTCTGGAAAGGTTAATTAATGTCTAATTAATAATTTAGATAACATTCCAGATAAAGAAAGACCCGCAATTGACAGATTTACCGCTTGCATAATGCATGTTTGATGAGAATGTGTGTGAAATAGCTGTATTTAACGTGGCAAGTATAAGTTCAATTAGAAATATATACATTATTTAAACATGCATTATGCAAGAGCAAAATCTGCTTATTACAAGTCTTTCTTTAGGCCTGAAATGTTATCTAAATAATCAATTAGACATTAATTAACTTATCCAGACCATAATAAACTCTCGATGTCAAGGCTAGCCTTCGATGTTGGCTGGATTAGATTCCTATATGCCGCTAACGGCCAGTGATAATTAAATTTAGAAAAAGTGGATAATCGAGACTATGCTGTTTATATTAATGATTTTAGTAATGATGACCAAGACTATGCAAACATTTCACCCGCTTCTTTCTCGGCTCATAGTGGATCAATTTGACTGAAATTTTCAGCAAATTACCTTAACACTATCTAGTTTTTAACTATTATAGCGAGACCTGCCATCTCTTTATCTTATCTCCCATAATGTATCTTTAAATAAATCATTCATTTAAAGCGATAATTTCATATTTTCTAAGAAAGTCAAAACATAATTATTTCTATGTCTTTTGCTCAATAGGTTATCAACTCACTATTATACGATCATTGGCATTATTTCCCACCCTTAAAAATCATTGAAATGGGAAATAATAACACAATTACCTCCCTTGTTTTCCTATTACCTCCATGGAATAGCTATGTTCAAACGTTTGAATTTGAAGCTAAAAATGATATTTTTGCCAAATTCTCAGCTGGCAATAGTGAATTATAGGATTAAAAGGATTATTTTTTAACAAGATAGGACTGTTTATGGATACCCTCTATTTAAAGGCTTTATTTTAATAAATTTTAAAAATTTAACTTAAAAATATGAAATTGTAACTTTAATGGACATAAATATGGTTATCTACCCTTATAAAAACTGAGGCGAAACGACTGGGTTGTAAACTGTTTCTTGATTGGTTCGTAGGCTTTAGCTACAATCAAGGCCCCGCTAGATAATTTGAAATCCTGGAAACCCTATGGATTAACCCAGGGTAGAGTGGAGTAGAACGGAATGAGAACACATGGAATACCGAGGATGTAACTTCCCTACATCACTGACAATCAATAGGATTCTTCATCACATGACCTTAAACACTTAGTATAAATTTCTATCAATCAAGTCAATCGAATAATAATTTTTTTTTAAAACATAACTCTTGAAGTAATCTCATGAAAGTAAACACCGTGTATAAATATACAGTCAATCGAGTGGTTTTTTTTCTGTTTTTCTGTAAGTAATCAGATGCCATAACTCAGGCGCATGTCAAAGTGGGGGGGGGGGGGGGCTCTCACAGAAAATCTCTTCTTTTTTTGTCCTATAATCATCAATATAACGTCGAACAAACGTATAAC